CCTTAACCACTATACCACCTGCTGACACTCCAACGTCCTTTTTAAAAGTTTATTTATTTATCCCATGATCAAGAGAGATCGGGGGCCAGCAGGTGGCATGGTGGTTGAGGTGCTGGACTCCCATATGGCCAAGTGAGGTAAGAGTCTCAGACTGGAGGCTTGCTTTCTCACTCCCCCCCACCCCGCCCCCATGAGTGCACCTGCCCTGCAGCAAGCTGAAGAATGATAATGATAGATACAATTAAAACAAGAGAGAGAGATAGCACCCCACCAGGATCCTGACCCCACAATTCACCTGCACCTTCAGCCAGCACCAGATCATGTGCGTTCGTGTGCCTGGCGTCAGGAAGGCTCTCGACACGGGTCAGCCCTGCGTAGTTTTACTGCTCCACCTTTGGACTCCCTCATTGTCTTCTGAATCGCTGTTACACAATGGGATAAATCATTTTCCTGTCTCGCCTAGTTCGCAAAGTTATCATAGGGCTCTGAGTAGAGGGTGTGCGTGCCAGTCTAAGTAAGCAAACTGGCCCCAGAATCTCCTAGAACCCTCACCTGCATTCAACACCAGCCCCTAAAGCAGCCCCTGAGCCGCAGCTACAGAGAAGACTGCATACATGGAACACAGGGTGTTGTCGTCCTCTAACTCCCTGCCCGAGTTCTAACCTATGTTTTAAATTTGTTTTAAGACAAAGATTTTGTTTGGTCACATGAAAATGCCTTAAATAGGCAATGCTATAATTAGCTCCAGCTGGTCTCATCTCCCAAAGTCACTACAGTAGTCGTCATCTTTTCTTTCTTTAACAAACCCTGCCCTTCTTTAGTCCCAGGACAGCCTTCGGCCTTGTGCTCACATGCCCTTTACAAAGAAAATCTCCCTGGCTGGCTGCCATGGTTTTTTTCTCTGCCCACTTCCATTTTAAGGAATTTTTTTCAGACCATCACGATCTTTTCTGAAACAAAGGCAGATGGCAAACTTGCTGGTTTATTTTGCAACAAAACTTGACTGGAGGCTGTTAGGAGCCAGCAAGGGGCTTTGTTGACTCACGCCACCTGGGTTCACCCACCACCCACTGATAAGCACTGGCAGTGGATGCTTCGCATCTCAGACTGGTTTGATACGGGTCATGAAGCAGCTCCCCAAGTCTGATGTGCTGGTTTTTTTTGAGTTTGCTACAGGGCACATGTGCTTGTCAGAGAGAAAAATCATCCCCCACAGGGATGGCCATGTCACAACCCCTTCTCCTCTTGGGATTTTGGGCACGCTTGCACACATGCCTGGTGTGTTTTTCAAGCTGCCGGGTCTAGGACTTGAATCGTGCAGTTGGTGATGTGGGAGCACCAGCTGGTCCTGATGTATTTTCAATGGCTATACCCATGGCAGGCAGGCCATTCTGCACCAAAACACCCCCCGAGTTCTCTTTTGGCTCCTGCTAGTTCTATAAAACTGCAGCACAGGGGACCAGCAGTTGGCGTAATGGCTATGTCGCTGGACTCCCATGTAGTCAACCAGGTGGCTTAAACTCACGCCGGGCACGTGTGCGTGCATGCCCAAGATCCCTAGAGGAGGAGGAGAAGGGATTGCGGTGTGGTCACCCCCCCCCCCCGGGGGATTTCTTGCTTTCTTTCTG